TCTCTTACAACCAAACCAAGGTTTTCTTCTAGGGCAGCAGACTGCAAACTGTGGCACGTGGGCCGAATGTGGCCCTTTGCTTACCTTTAGCTGGCCCTTGGGGCACTGTTCCCATTACTGATATGAGACTCTGTTACTCTCACTGACATCTAGGTACTATTTATCCCACTGATACCAACAATGAGGCATCATTTCTTCATCTGACACCAACAGTAGGGCACTATTCCTCCCACTGACACCAACAATAGGGCATTATTCCTCCAAATATTACCTGTGATGGGGCACTATGCCTTCTCCTACTGACCACCAAGTCTGAGACATTGTCTATTCTTACTGATGTTGGGGCATTTTCTACTCTCTCTGGCCACAGTTTCCACTGACACCACTGATCTTTTTAGCTATCTGTTAGGGTGAGATTCTCCCCAATGACCACAAGTGTAAGGAACATTCTTCCCACTGACCATCACACACTAATGTACTATGAGCTATAGATATAGTTATTTTTAGCAGGGGTTCCCCGAGCCTGGAAAGTTATTTCAAGGGCTCCTCTGTGTTGAAAAGGTTGAGAAAGACTGCTCCATAGGATACCACAGCCTTTACACCCTGGCTTACATTTTATGAATGGGCTGTAAAATGCAGAATTAGTGTGGAATGCAGAATGTAGTGTCTATCAGAGAGCAAACAGCATATTCCCTCCCCATTATAAATTAGTCTTTAAGGGACCTGTTTATATTGGAATGCTTACACTTTAAAAGCTATTTATAAAATGCAGGACAGTGTGGAGCCTCGAATGTCCCATGTTGCGTTCTTTGCATAATGCTGCAGAGAAAACTCATGGATGAGGGGTAGTGACAGTAGGGTGAATAAAACACTAAATTAGTATGGTGTTAGAAACACCTGTCATTTTTTTTATTGCCTCCTGTGACGCCCACTGTCCAAGTGACACCTTGGGGTAGATTCTGATGCAGCTGTGCATGGTAGCCAATCAGCTTCTAAACTGAGCTTGTTCAAGTAAGCTTTGGCAATAAAATCTGGAAGCTGATTGGTTTCTATGCAGAGCTGCACCAGATTTTGCACTCTCCAGCTTTAGTAACCCCCCCCCCTCCCTGTGTCTTGGTGTTTGAGTTGCTCTCACTGCAATAGGAAGTAAAAGGAAATATCTCCAGTGGGAGCTCAGATAACAGTATACCATGTCTAAGGCCTCTTGCACACTGGAACACTTCTCAGCTGGCAGCAAAAAAAACGCTAAACGCACCAAAAATGCGTGTAAATGCGGTACCACGTTTAGCCATGTTTAGTGCTTAGATGTTTATTAATTTCATTGGCCAGAGCACTTGCCATTGAAACGAATAAATGCTCAAGTGTATTTTTGCCACTTTTAGCATTATTTGCCCAAAACGTTCCTCTACTGAACGCGATTCTTCTGCGATCAGGCTAGGGACATTTCACTGGTCCTAAACGCTGCTGATAAACTCTGTTAAAACGTCTGTGTGTGCATGGACACATTTTTATTGAGCTGAGTTCAGGGGCTTTGGCAAAAAAATGCCAAAAGCTCTTGAACTCACATTAATGAGCAGCAGTGTGCATGAGGTTATACCCTTCTCCACTCAATCCAAAACAAAAAAATTCTACTGAAGTTGTATTTAATTGATATATTTTGGAGATCATTGCTTATCTCATGAACTTGGCCACATACAGCACTGAAAGATCTGCATGGACTGAAAGTGAAGGTTTGGCAGCAGGGAGCATCAGGAAAGTCAATACTAAAAAGCTTAGCACAATGCTGCCATTATAGTTAAAAGTAACAGAATTTCCTAACTATGCACCGTCAACAAGTACTTGTAAGGGACTATTCAGACCTGTGCTGTTACCACAAAGCACACAGGAACACATACAATGACACTTCAACACACAGACCCTGTGAGATACAATGCATTTGCATTTTAGCACAATGATTGTTGTAAACTACATTGAAAAATATATTTCAGGTACATTTTCCATGTGCTGAGTTTCATTGACAGCCATTATGAGCAGTTTGACTTAAAGCAACAAATCTCAATGCAGAAAAAAAAGCATTGATGTGTCTGTATTCTTCAGCAGATTGTCTAATGGACCCTCAAAGAGATACCCCTTTCAGGAATAAACATAAAAATCCAAGAAGTGTTATGATTATTGCTGCAGCTAATGATTAGTTGGCAGATTATTGTTTTGATTAATCGGGTAAAAACCTCAAAAAAAGTTTGGTGTATAATTTAGTTAACATGTAAAGTTTAAAAACACATTTTATTCCTAAATAACTAAATGCAGTGGTAAATATAAATAACCAGCTATATGGTTAGAGAACAAAATATCTAAACCACTCTCAATAACAGGGGGATGAATCTAGTACATGTCATCAGACTCAAAAGAACAAAATTTTTATTTAAAGAAAATATTTTTTTAAAACACTGTTTTGCAAATTTCCAGACAGGACTGTAATACAATATTGTGCATAACAGACTCCCTTGTCATAGGCATGATATGAGCCACCTACACCTGCTGTCACCTATGATGGCCATACACTAACTAATTTTTCCTTTGAAAAATTTTAATTTTAAGAACATTTGTTAGATTTGCTAATCATAAAATCGATTTTTTTTTTTCTACCACAGTGGCAGGGAAATTTGAAGGAGCAGAATAGAAAGCTTTTCTCAATCAAATACATTTTTGGACAGTGTATGTGTTTTCGCTCAGAAATGACATTCATTTTAACAATTTGCCCTCTGAAAGATTTACCCCCCTTAACGACCTTTTTTTCACACAAATAGAGTTTTCTTTTGGTAGTATTTGATCGCCACTGGGTTTTTTATTTTTTGTGATCTAAATGAAAAACACTGAAAATTTTGTAAAAAACCCTCAATATTTTCTACTTTCGTTTATAAAAAAAAATATCCAGTAAACTCAAATTTCATAAATTTAGGCCAACATGCATTCTGTCTTTGGTAAAAAAAATTCCAATTTGTGTATATTAATTGGTTTGTCATAAAATTATAGCATCTACAAACTATGGTATATGTATTGGAATTTACGCAGCTTTTACTTTCTGACTGCCTATCACATTTCTTGAGCTGCTAAAATCCGCGGGCAGGACAAAAAAAAAAAAACCCAAATGACCCCTTTTCGGATAGTAGAAACCCCAAGGAATTTGCTGAGAGGCATGTTGAGTCCAAATTTTTGGAAAATGACAAAACATTTTTTTTTTTTTTACACAAAACTTAAATGATATATTGCTCACGTATGCTAAGGGTATATGTGAAATAACACCCCAAAACACATTCTGCTACTTTTTACGAGTATGGGGATACCACATGTAAGAGACTTTTTGGCAGCCTAGCTACATACAGGACCCAAAAATCCAATGACCACCTCCAGGCTTTCAAAGCGCATATTTCCTAATGTCACTTCTTCACTGCATATCACAGTTTCGGAGGCCCTAGAATGCCAGGATAGTACAAAACACACCCAAATGACCCCTTTTTGGAAAGTAGACAATCCAAGGAATTTGATAAGTGGCATGGTGAGTATTTTTCAGGTATCATTTTTGTCACAGTGTTGTGAAAAAGAAAAAAAGAAAAGAAAAAAATACATTTTAAATTTTTTTCCTTGTTTTCCAAAAACTTGTGGAAACAAATGAGATCTGCAAAATACTCAACATGCCCGTTAGCAAACACCTTGGAGTGTCTGCTTTCCAAAAAGAGGTAATTTGGGGGGGTGCTTCTACTATCCTGGGCCAACATTAAAAACTTATGCCAAACACCACCCACTCCTCTATCCACTTGAAGACCAAGTCTTTTCTTTTTGTTCACATGAAAAAACAGTCTTTTTTGGTAGAAAATTACTTTAAACCCCCAAACATTTTACATTTTTTAAAAGTAAAGACCTTAGAGAATAAAACAGTGGGTGTTTAAATTTTTTATGTCACACAGTAGTTAAGCAATGATTTTTCAAATGCAATTTTTGGGAAAAAAAAAAAAATACACTTTTTAGAATTTTAATGCACAAAGTTTGATAAAATAAAATTGTTTGATAAAATATAAAGGATGATGTTACCCCAAGTAAATGGATACCAAACATGACATGCTTTAAAATTGCACACTTTCGTGCAACTGCGACAAACTTTTATTATCCATAGGCGATGCTTTAAAGGCCTTTACAGGTCACCACTTTAGATTTACACAGGAGTTCTAGTGCTAGAATTACTGCCCTTAATCTGACATTTGAGGTGAAAACTCACATGCATGGTGCAATCTCTGTTTATATGCTCACATGGGACCGAAGCTAGCATTTGCCTTTGAGTGTGAGCTTGGGGTGAGGTGAATTTAAAAAAAAAAAATATTTATTTAGCTCTTTTTTATTTTTAACCACTTGCCTACAGGGCACTTATACCCCCTTCCTGCCCAGGCCAATTTCCAGCTTTCAGCGCTGTCACACTTTGAATGACAATTGCGCGGTCATGCAACACTGTACCCATATGAAATTTTATCATTTTTTGAGACAGATAGAGCTTTCTTTTGGTGGGATTTTTATTTTTTCTTAAACCTGAAAAAAACCACTTTTTTCTTAGTTTTTGTTATACAATTTTGTAAATAAGTGATTTTTCTCCTTCACTGATGTGCGCTAATGAGGCTGCAGTGATGGGCACTGATAGGCTGCACTGATGGACACTGATAGGTGGCACTGATGAGGAGGCATTGGTAGCTTGCACTGATGGGCATTGACAGGCATCACTGATGGGCACTGAAAGGCAGCACTGATACATGACACTGATATATGGCACTGATAGGTGGCACTGATAGGCAGCACTGACTGGCACTGATAGGCAGCACTGACTGGCAGTTAGGCGGCACTGACTGGCACTGATAGGTGGCACTGATAGGCAACACTGACTGGCACTGATAGGTGGCACTGATTGGCAGCACTGATAGGTGGCACTGATTGGCATTGATAGGTGGCACTGACTGGCACTGATGGGTGACATTGAAAGGCAGCTCAGATGGGTACTGATATGTGGCATTGATGTGCACTGGTATGCACTGATATGTGGCATTGATGTGGCACTGATGGGCACTGGCACATGCCACTGATGAACACTGACTGCTGGCACTGATGGACACTGACAGGTGGCACTTCTGGGGCCACACTGATCATCAGGGCACACTGATCATCAGTGCCCTGATGATCAGTGTACATGTCCCCTCTGCGGAAAGCCGACTACCGGCTCTCCTCTCCTCTCGAGATGTCAGCGTGAAAGCTGTGGAAGGTGGTGAGAGGGGAGGCATCCTTTCCTGCTGCTTCTAAAAGGATTGTTTTTACATGAAAGCCAACTGCCAACTGGAAAAAACGATCCCAGGATGATTCCTATAGCTGTATAAGCACTCAAAGTCCAGCAATGTACCGGCATGTTGCTGGTCCTTTTTGAGCATATACTGTATATAGCAGCACAGAACATGGGCATATAATGAATCGGGTCTGTGGACCAATATCACTTCAATACATTCTGTTTTGTAATGCCCATAATGAGGCTTAGGCCCAAAAACATTTTAAATTCAGAAACAGTGATACGTTTCCATATGAATTGTCTGGCGAGAGCTGAATTTAGGTGGGCGACGATGTATTGTTGTGCGTATAAATTGATTCAGCCCACAATCAATTGGTACAAATGTTTTGTGAAAAACAGCGGAGGGGCTAAACGCTAGTGCTGGCAGTGTATGGGTCTGATCCTGCTAACACTGCGGGAACACTATACTAAGGAGGCACTAGTGTAGTTCTGTTAGTGATCAATATATTGACCCATACAAACACTATACTAGTAATGGTGGTGATCAGCAACTTATAGTGTGAGTACGATAGTGTGCGGGCAATCTAACGCTAGCTGACCCTGGCTGGGAGGGGAGCTTATAGACGTTATCTGATGTGGCTAGTGGCAGTAAAATAGTGATCAGTGAAAAATTCTTTATACTGCCACTGTACTAATGGCACTGGCTGGATGACGGGGTGGTCAAAGGGTTAATAAGTGCCACCCAAAAGTTAAATGTGCTAATCTAATGTGTGTGTAAAATGTAGTGCTTTTACTCAGTGCCATGTTCTCTCTTCTCTACTTGCACCAGCATCGGGGGCAGCACACCTAAAAATAAGAAGTGACTTAAGGGTACATCGCTTTGCCCAGAGTTGCTGCTCGCTCTTACATTGTGGGAGGGTGGCAAGTGGTTAAAAGAAAAAAATTAAAAAACCATTTCTCTCAATATTGTTATTTTTTTTAACATTCTTTTTTTTTTTTTTATATACTTTCATCAGAGTAGTACAATGTTACCATAGTAACATTATACTACTTTGGGGGGTGATCGGGGATTTTTTTTTTTCTATTACACTTTGCATTGCAGGAGCAATAAAGGTTATCTTTATTCCGTTGTGTCTGGTGGACACAGCAGATGGGGGGAGGAGCGCAATGCCCTTCATGTTGCTGCAACACTAGTCATGATGGGGTAAAAAAAAAGCCATTTATAGTACAAAAAACAGCAGATAATCACTACTATAAGGGGTTAATTTATACTGTGAACTAGGGAAAGTAATAAAGTATAACATATATACCCTCAGGTAGGATATACAGGGTATTTTAACTGGGAGTAAGACACGAAGCTATATGAAGCGTGGGGGGGTGAGGGATATAAAGCTTTTATAGTAAAGTAGAACTGAAGGCTGAGACTTTTTTCATGGATATAACTATTTTAAATATAATGAACAATACCGGCGAACTTTTACTTTATCTTTAATTGTAATGCCTTATACCCGCCTTTCTCAATCAGGGTGCCCAGGCACCCTGGAGTGCCTTCAGACTTCTTCAGGGGTGCCTTGGTAAAACACCCAAAAATTGTATACAAGCCAGCAGGTGGATCAATCCTGCCTTTTAGTACACAAAGCTACAGGTTTTCATTGTGCACTTTTATGACATTCTACCTGCCTGCATCCTAACAACCAATCACATCAGTTGATGAGGACGTGAGGTGCATGGACATCATCCTTGTTTGGCCCTCTCTGTCAGCATTGGAGTCACATTAGCAGAGGGAGGGAGAGAAACACAGAGACACATTGGAATACTAGTCAGTACCAGTTTGCAAAGGTGTAATTGCTTTGGAAGAATAAATCAGCTCTAATGTTGGGTGTACTGGATGTGTGTAGAATAGTTTTTTACATTTTAGAATGGGGTGCCTTGAGATTGTGCAGGATTTTAAAGGGTGCCTTGAAATTATCCATAATTTTACAGAGGGCCTTGACTGGAAAAAGATAGAGAAAGACTGCCTTCTATTACCCACAGTCTATCAGCCTTCAGCGTCTTTGGGTTCAGATGCTGATCTTCCCTGCACAGAGCCCCTAAAGTGATTGTAACCTTGGATTTTTTTTTGTAAGCTACAAACTTTGTCATACCTGCCTGCTCTGTGTAATGGTTTTGCACAGAGCTGCCCAGATTCTCCTCCTTCTGGGGTCCCCCACCAGCACTTCTGGCTCCTCCTGTTTTCAGAGTGCCCCTATAGCAAGCAGTAACATATAGAATAAAGTGCCCCTCTAGCAAGGTAAAAACAATTCTGCATTTAGAATAACCTACTTCCTTCTCCTATACAGGACTATATGTCCCACAAGGCATTCCTCCGCACACATTCAAAGTCCAAGTTCTCAGGATCTTACTGATATGTATGGACGGTGTACTGAGCTGTATGTGTGCTGCACTGCATTTTCTGATATGTAAACAAATAATACAATCTGTACTCAGGCCAACTAATTGGCTGACCAACTAATGGATTATGAAAATACTTGACAACTATTTTCACAGTCAATTATGTAAATTAGTTGTTTCAGCCCTAGGTTACCATTTTTATGATATAGCCAATAAATGGCCAGCACAGTAGATAAGGGCCACCTTGCATATGTGTGGTGTGTTTAACCATTTGCCGCCCGCCCCATGGCCGAATGGCGGGCGGCAAATGTCATCAGCGTTCTAGGTGGACGCCAATCTGCACATGTGCAGATTGCGCTCCTGCAGAGCGGCGCAGCGGCACGATCTGTCACCGGCCGTGTACCTCAGACACGGCCGATGACAGATCTGAGTATCGGCCCCGTTGCCGGTACCATGTGACCTGCTGTGACCAATCACAGCAGGTCACATGACAGTTGTATACAATGGATGGCTTCATTCATGCCATCCATTGTATACTACTGCCTAGCTGTGAATGGTCACAGCTAATCACATGCACATGTCATGTGATTAGCTGTGGCCAAATCACAGCTAAGCACAAAAAAAAAAAAAAAAAAAAACCTGAATGAATCGATGTCATTCAGGTAAATGCTTGCTTATAGCAAAGTAATTCTTTGCTTTAAGCAAATTGTGTAAAAAAAAAAAAATACTGATCACTTCCCGAAAGTAGTACAATGTTACTATGGTAACATTGTACTACTTTGGTCATAGTGAGATATAAAAAAAAATCTTAAAAAAAAAGAAAAAAATTTAATAAAAAATATATAATTTTTTTTTTCATACTGTCACCAGTCAGTGTCCCTGATCACTGCCATGCCAGTTATATGATAACGCTGTACTGCACTTTGTAAAAAAAAAATAGTGAAACAAATTTTTTTAAGTTTTTCATTTTCCGAAAAATTATGACAAAAAAAAATACAACTTCAAAAAACTCGCCATGCCTCTTATGAAGTACGTCAGACTGTCTACTTTGCAAAAAGGGGTCATTTGGGGATATCTGTACTGTTCTGACATTCTTGGACCTCAAGATATTAGATTGGCTGTCAGTACTTCAGGATTGATCAATATTCAGATCTATACCATAGTTTGTGAACTCTATAACTTTCCTACAAACTAAAAAATACATCCTAATTTGGGTTATTTTCACCAAAGACATGTAGCAGAATACATCTCGGCCTAAATTTATGAAGAACAATTATTTATTTGCAAACTTTTATAACAGAAACAAAGAAAAGTTTTTTTTTTTTCAAAATTTTTGGTCTTTTTTTTGTTAATTTAGCAAAAAATAAAAACCCCAGTGGTGAATAAATACCACCAAAAGAAAGCTCTAGTTGTGTGAAGAAAATGATAAAATTTTAGTTTGGGTACAATGTTGTATGACCGCGCAATTGTCATTCAAAATGTGAGAGCGCTGAAACCTGAAACCTGGCCTGGGCAGGAAGGGGGAAAATTGCCCGGTATTGAATTGGTTAAGGTGCATTTTACATGATTTTTAAATGCATTACCATTGAATTCTTTATAACATGTTTTCATAAAAGGGCATCAAAGATGCAGCACACAGGATTTTTTAATGTATTGCATCTCATACATTCATAAAATGCACAGGTGTGAATGGAGCCTTAGTGCTTAACACGTCTGCCTGGCGTCTCTGGTTTGGAATCCTGGTCAGGATACTTTCTGCATTTGCATGTTCTCCCTGTGCTTGTGTGGGTTACCTCCCGCACACCAAAGACATGCTGATCGGTTAACTGGCTCCTGTCCAAATTAGGCCCTAGCAAAGCTTTTTTTCTAGCAGGAAAATGGTGGTACACAGTTCCGACACCTCCAGCACTGAATGTATATACAGGGCCAGGGGTGCTTGGGCATGCAGGTAAGCACCCCAGAATATTTTCTAGTACCTCCATACAGCAGCTGCCATAGCTTACCATTTAATCTCTACTCCTACCCACACTGACAGACTGGGAGTCTGTTGTGGCTGGGGGGGGGTCTATTGTTGTTGATTGTTGGGGAGTCTATTGATGCTGGCTATTGAGGGGAACTATTGTTGCTGGGAGGATGAGTAGTGGGAGGTGTAGTGTTGCTTGGGAGGATCTACTGTTGCAGGTCACAGGGGTCTCTTGCTGGCTTCTGGGGGATCTATTGTTGCTGGAGATGCTTTTTGTTGCTGGGGAAATCGATTCTTTCTGAGATCCATTGTTGCTGGGCACATCTAATGTGGCTGAGTGGTTTATGTAGCTATCGATTTTTACCTCCTTTCTAGTTATCATTAACAAATTCTATATAAATTACTTAGCAACATAAAATGATACTTTGTTCTGTATTCTCAAAAAGGGGTGGTATTGGGAGGTTGGTAGGGGCAGAGACAAGGGATGATGCTTGAAGGTGGGTAGGGGGGGTGGAGAAAAGGTTGAAAGCACTCACACTTATTCTCTGATAAAAAAAAAGCCCTGGGCCCTAGCATGTATGCATGTCAGATAGGATCTTAGATTGTAAGGTCCTTGAGGACAGGGACTGATA